GGGAACTGAGCATCGCAGGACACCTAAAGGCCCTTTGACTTGGGGTGGCAGGAGGTGTGGATATCCCGCCCCTTAGGGCCGGAATGAGCACCCTTGGGCCTCATGGGGGGATTTTTGAAGCTGGATTAACGGAGGGGGGCGGGGTGATAAATTTGAGCTATTGTGATGGGAGTCTTTTGTGGTATGCGAATATTTGGCTAACAGCTCTGTATGTAGCCTTCTTACCGCCAGCCCTCCGCATTATGGAGACCCTCTGGGGCCAGCCCCGTCCTGAGCCAGGGACGCAGAGCAAATGTGTGTGTGGGGGGGAGACCCCTAGCAGAGGTGAGGGAAGCACTGTTTGTCCTGTGGCTCAGGGACACACAGGGGCTCCCCAGTACCCAGTATGCAGAGGGGCCAGGAGGAGCCCTCAGCTCACAGCAGTGTGCCAGCTGCCGACCGGAGAAGGGCTGGGCTTAGGAGGTGAGACTCCTGAGGTCACCGAGAAGATTCAGACTTGAATCTGGAGGCCATGAGGACATCGCATGTGTCTTCTCCATCTCTCCCTCTTCCTCCTTGACAGGGAAAGCCGTTTGGTGACAAACCACCCTACTACCCACAGGTGAGGAAATCTACGCCCTCCATGCAAGCTGTCTTCTCCTGTGGGGGTCCCACAGCCGAGTGACCCACATACACCCACCCTCAAGCTGCCACCAGACCCTTAGCCACTCTGCTGATAGCACCCCATTCTGGATCTTTTTGATTAATGGGAGGAGGCTGCTAGGGAAATACAGGATCAGTCAGGGCACCAGTGTGGTCACAGTGTCTTCTGGGTGCAGGGAGAGGGTAGGCGGGAGGATGCAGTATAAGGTCAAAGCTACAGATGCCCCAGGAACTCGGGGTCCTCTGGGCCTGAGAGGGAAGTGCACACATCTGTAAAATGGGAAGACAGTGCCTCCCTCTGAATGCCAAAGGGGCCACTGCAAAGATTAGGTGAGAGTTTGGTTTGTAAACTGAGTCAATAAGATTCCCATCCTATACCTCAGGTCCATTCTAATGTGTTCCCTGGGGAGAGGAAATAACTTTCAAGGCTCCAGTCTTTGGGGTGCCTGGCTGTCTCCTGCTTAAAGGGAGGGGACAGTGATCTCTAGGAGGGGTTAGGGGTGTTAGTTTGGGCTTTGCTGGGTTACTTTTTTGAGCAGCACTTCTTTTTCCAAGCTCCATTAATTCTCTTCTAGCTCAGCCTCAATTGGTAGCAAACCCAAACGGGGCAGGGCAGGGGCTCTGGGATCCTAAGGCTCAAGATTGGACAAAGAGTAATAGCATAACCCAGAAAGTACAAGGAGCAAGGAGAGGTGTGAGCTGGCCCTTCCCATGCCTTCCACATCTTGACCCCGACACACTCTTAGAGCTCAGGTAGCTTCTAGAAACCTACTTGATGAGCAAGAACTAAGGCCTGAGGGAAAGACTGGAGACCTGTCCATCACTCCTGCCCCAGCAACCTCCTACCCCGGGTAATCTCCCGAACCCTTTCTGGGATCTCCAGACCTAGAGCAGATGACCATGCTCCTCTGAGCATCAGTTTCTCCCTCTGTCAAGAGAGAGTAACCATCCCCATGAACCAGTGAGACATGAAATCACACGAAAGTCTGTCGAGGCCTGCTAAGTGCCTGGCAGTGCTCAGGTCACCGCTAAGTGGTGACAGCTGTCATGAAGCAGCAGTACCAGCCCGTCTTCTTGAAGGCTCCCCTGCACCCCACAATCCATACTGCAGACTTCGCGATTTATTGTGCACACCGATTGACACAGGCACGCTGATCACATTTACACGTGTTGGACGAGTCCCACTGCAGGCTAGGCTACGCACATTTGTGTAGGAAATGTTGACCCGACACCTGCCGCGTGCTGGGACCGGGTCTGAGCTCGGGGCTCCTGACATCCGCGTGACCTGGGCCGCCCTGGGAGCTGAGTTTGCCAGGAAGATGCGCAGTTTGTCTGAGGGTTCTGACTTCCAGAAAGCCCCATCGCGTACATTTAGGCGCAACAGCTGCCTCTGCATCCCTCCTGATTTCCGGAACAGAAGTGAAAAAGGCTGAAATGCCTTTTTTCCCCCTTTTCCTTTCAGTGGCTTACCTCCCACCTCCATCCCTGGCAGGTTCTGCGCAAAAACTCCGCTCTCCTTGGCAGCCAGGCGGAGACCCAGCCTGAAAGCTAACAGGAACTCCAGGAAGGGAAGGGAGCGGACCAGAGCGGCCCGGGAGGGCTCCGGGAAGCGGTGGGCGGTCTGCGCCCCCCAGCCCCGGCGAGCCCGCCCGGCTTTGGCACGGGTTTCTCCGGGCCCGCCAGACGGTCGCCCAAGCGAGGGCCAGCCCGACGCGCACCCGGCCTTTTGTGTGAAGGAAACACAAAGGAAAGAGAGAAACACGTCTTCCGTTTTAATGGCGAAGGCCAACAACTCCAGGATGCCAGCACCAGCCAGTGACCCCCGGAGCCCAGACGATCGCCCTTGCCAGGTCCGCACTCCTTCCTCGGGAAGGGACGGCGGCCGGGGCCGCGCGCTGGTGGGAACCGAGTGGCCGCAGGGGACGCGGCTTGGACGCGCACGCCAGGCAGAAGTGGAGGACTAGGACTAGCTCCCGGGACGCCTGCAGGGTGCACAAGGACAATCGCGGGGCGCCCCTATAGTGTCCTATTACCGGTGGTAGGGTGACACAAGGAGAGGCGTCCGGCAGTCGGATTTTCTCTGAGCTATGAGAGCCTGGGGGAATCCACACTGCTCTCACCTCTAGGGAGACGGAAGGATGGGGAGGGGGCGGCCGGGAGGAGGAATTTCCCGCAGGTGGGGAGAGGACATCAGATGCCACCTCATGCCTCCTCCCCAATTGCCAGCGCAGTCTCAACTTGGTAGCAGAGGGCTGGGGCGCAGAACATTATTAGGGGCTCCTGGGCGAAGAACAAGCCAGCTGTCCTCCCTCCTGGGATTCTGCCTTGCAGGCAAGCCCCCAACTTTCAGCCAGGCCACCAACTCCAGCTTTATAAAGAATATCAGACTAGGCTCTATCGCAGACCGCCCGAAAGAGGGACGCAGTACAGATCCAAGTGGGAAGCAACAAAAGAAGGGCCCGGGACTGGGGGACCTGTGCCGGCGTTAGGACTGGCCGGTGGCCGAGGCGCGAGCACGGGGCGCCGGCGGCTTTTTTACTTGCACAGCCGCTGGCTCCAAGCCCCAGCACGCGCCCCGCAGAACAGCTCCACGCACTTTCTCCCCTCGCCTGAAGCGAGCCCCAAGAGCTGATCCTCAAACGAGAGCGCATCTCCAGCCCCAGCTCCGCTCCCCCACCCCCAGCTCCCTGCTTGGTCCCTCTGGGTGACAGATTCTGCCAACTGAACGGTTACGGGTCACCCTTGTAGCCGTTAGACGGCATATCACCACGCTTCAGTTCTTCATGTTTTAAATACATATTTAACGGATGGCTGCAGAGCCAGCTGGGAGACACACGGGTTGAAAAATAATGCTCCAGGAGGCACGAGGCTGGGGCAAAGGCTAAAGTACCCGCTGGGCTTTCTAGGGAAGGAGGGAGGGAGGAAGCAGAGGAGCTAGGGGCAATAAACTGGGTTTTCCTATGTGCTGGTTTTGTAAGTTTGATACATAAAATCCAAATTACTGTGTGCGTTTGCTTGCTTGCTGGTTTGTAGATCTACCGAAGTACACCACGAGTTGCCAGACAACTGAAGTAACCAGACAGGACTGGGGCCCTGTGTGTGTGTGTGTGTGTGTGTGTGTGTGTGTAAGAGCTTGCGTCTCAGATTTGCATAGGAAGTTTATGCAGCTCAGGAGAAAGGTTAGGAGTCAGGGAGACCAGACAAGCAGCAGCAGCCTCTACCTTACATGGTCCCAACGCTGTATTCCAAGCAGAGCTCCACTGTAGATTTGCTGTAGGCAAGTCGGTTTCTGCGCCTGTAAAATGGGTGAATGCTGGGTACCTCTGGACTACATGGGCCCTGCTCCACTTTAGGTTTAACTCTTCATGATCAAGGGCTTGTCGGTTTGAAAGGCTGCAAGCAGTACAGTGTATCCATTCGATTCTGGGAAAGATTCAGTGTCGCCCTTCGGCCTAGGATGCGAGGACCCTTTCCTCAGGCCTGAGACATTTCTTGTTGCAAACCTGGGTTGTCCGACCCCCTTGCTTGAAGACGGCCTGGTGGCAAGGATGGTGCCAAAGAAAAGATTACCGACTCAAGAAACACAAGGTGGGGGTGTTTAACTGCGGGCACGCCCCCCGTCTCGCCTCAGGCGCTCTTGTTAATTGCAGTTCCTGTATGAAAATAATTTGTCTTTGGGCCCGCACCCTCCTCAACTTTGTGAAAAGTTGTAATTTCTTTCAGAACAAGGTTCCTGTGGCCGGTCCTCTCCTTCCCTCCCTGGCCTCTGCCCGCAGGGCCATGTTCCCACCTGAGGGCGCCACCGCCTGTGCGCGGAGCTGCGGCGACCTCGTACACGCGCACTGAGGACGCCAAGAAAGTGGGGCCGTTGTGCATGATTATCTGTGACATGTGTGGCTCTAAATGCTCTCACGTGTAGAGAACCATGACGAGAAGACTAGCAGCGGGAAACCAGAGAGAGGGAGAGGGAAAGCTAGGGAGGAGACCTCAGCCCGGACCCCTGGGTCGCCAGGGTTGTTTGCGACGTCCAAAAGATCCAGCTGCGCTGGGCGTCAGCGCGGTTGGTGGAGTCCCCAGTCCACTGCGTCCCGCAGCCTGACTATGCTGTGCCCCTATTTCTTCAATCATCTGAGCAAGTTCCCTCTGCCCCTGGGTCCCGATGCGCGGGTCCGGTCTCCAAGCCTGGGCGAGTACCCTGCTCCGCCCCCTCGCCTCTCACCTCCCCGGCTCCTCCAGTCGCTCCTCAAGAATCTCGCGAGCGCGGGCGCCCATTGGTCGTGCGCGGGGAGGAGGCGTGTGCAGGCGGGTTTCATTGAGCGGACTTATCCCGGATGACATCAGCTTCCCGGCCCCTCCCGCGAGCCCGACTCATTGGCGCGGCTGCCCCTCCAGGACACGCACATTGTTCCCCGCCCTCGATCCGCCACCGCCGGCGGCGTCGCCGCCTACACCGGGCTATAAAAAAAGCTTGGGAGCTCGGAAAGGTACAGATGCTTATTTTAGATCCGCGGCACTCCAGCGCCGGGCGCCAGGATTGAGCAAGTTCCTAAAACTGAATCCGCAGTAAGTGTTTCCGCCCCCACCTCCGCGAGCCCCAGCCTAGAAAGCAGGGACCGTCACCCCCAACTTGGGCTGCGACCCAGGATGCTCCCCGACGGGGATGCCCCGATCTGCCACTACCGCTTCTCATTCTCACAGCAGCATCCTCTTCGCCCCATGCCAGAAGTCAGGGCGACAGCAGCTCCTTCAGCGCAAGTCCCGGCCAGGGGCGAGCGCCCACGGCCCCAGATGCACGCAGCACCTGGAATCCGGACCCCGCGCGCGGGCGCCGGGTGCGCGTGTTTTATCACTCGCGGTGTCGATGGAGACAACGTGGATGGGTTTGAGGAACCCAGGAAACAGTCTTCTGTTTAGATGCCCACACTCCCCAGAGAAAAGCTCTTCCTTGTTCTCCATTATTCCAGCCCTGGTGACCCAGCCTCCCCATGCTTAAGGGAAGGAACAACACCTCTCAGATGGTCCTCGGGGGTTCTGATACAAGCTGAAAATAAGAGCAGAGGGTGGGTGCCAGAGAAGGAAAAAAAGATTAGTTATGCCGACCTGAGTGCTGCTGGAAGGAGGGACAGAGAGCAGGAAGGGACACGCGGGCCACCGTGCCTGGACCTTGCGCTGCGGTGCAGTAGAGAGCAGCTTTTCTGTATCACTTAAAGTGAATTTCTCTCTCTCTCTCTCTCTCTCTCTCTCTCTCTCTCTCTCTCTCATTCTCCTTCCCCCGACCCTGCATCCCATCTTTCTGGAAGCTCTAAGGGTCCTGGGAGCAAAGACCTTGCCACTAAAAGCTGCGACTATTCCCCGGGGCCATGGACTCGGACGCCAGCTTGGTGTCCAGTCGCCCGTCGTCGCCAGAGCCCGATGACCTTTTTCTGCCGGCCCGGGGCAAGGGCAGTAGTGGCAGCGGCTTCACCGGGGGCACCGTGTCTTCGTCTACGCCGAGCGACTGCCCGCCGGAGCTGGGCACTGAGCTGCGTGGCACCATGGGCGCGGTGGGCACTCATCCTGGGGACAAGCTGAGTGGCGGTGGCTTTAAGTCATCCTCCTCCAGCACTTCATCATCCACGTCGTCGGCGGCCGCGTCGTCCACCAAGAAGGACAAGAAGCAGATGACCGAGCCGGAGCTGCAGCAACTGCGCCTCAAGATCAACAGCCGCGAGCGCAAGCGCATGCACGACCTGAACATCGCCATGGACGGCCTGCGCGAGGTCATGCCGTACGCGCACGGCCCATCGGTGCGCAAGCTCTCCAAGATCGCCACGCTGCTCCTGGCGCGCAACTACATCCTCATGCTCACCAACTCGCTGGAGGAGATGAAGCGACTGGTGAGCGAGATCTACGGCGGCCACCACGCCGGCTTCCATCCCTCGGCCTGCGGAGGCCTGGCGCACTCGGCGCCCCTGCCCGCGGCCACCGCGCACCCCGCTGCAGCCGCTCACGCCGCGCACCACCCGGCCGTGCACCACCCCATCCTGCCGCCGGCTGCCGCCGCCGCCGCCGCCGCGGCCGCTGCAGCCGCAGTATCCAGCGCCTCGCTGCCGGGCTCCGGGCTGTCGTCCGTGGGTTCCATCCGGCCCCCGCACGGCCTGCTCAAGTCTCCGTCGGCGGCCGCGGCCACCCCTTTGGGGGGCGGCGGCGGCGGCAGCGGAGGCAGCGGCGGCTTCCAGCACTGGGGCGGCATGCCCTGCCCGTGCAACATGTGCCAGGTGCCGCCGCCGCACCACCACGTGTCGGCCATGGGCGCGGGCAGCCTGCCGCGCCTCACCTCCGACGCCAAGTGAGCCCCGGCGCCCGCCCGCGTGTTCTGGCCAGCGAGCGAGGGTGGCCCGGTGGCCGCGGCGGAGCGAAGGAGCGAGGACTGCCCGGCGCTGGGGCTCGGGAGCTCGTAAAGAGCTCCGAGGAGGGGCGCAGGTCCTTGGGGTGTGGGTGGGTATTGATGGGGACCCTGGCCCCCCGGAACGGAGTCTTGGGAACCCACAGAACAGTGAGGAGTGAGAGGGCACTGTCTCCAGGACTTTCTTGAGCCCTCTGGCTTTAAACCGCGCCGGTCCGGGGGACATTTTGTAAAAAGGCACCATCTGCACCCTTGCCTGAAATTCCTCTTCCCACCCCCAGGAAAAAGTTGCAAACTTGCGGTTTCCCCGCGAACCTGGCTTGACTCCTGGACTCGGGCAGCGCTTGGTGGAGGGTAGAGGGTGGGGGACACGTTAGGACTTTCTCTCCTTCCTTCTAGGCGGGCGGGACACTCGAGGCCTGCAGAAGCGACCTCAGGCCCTGGAAGGCCGTCGCTGGCCCAGGACCAGGGGCGATGAGTTATTTGCAAGCTGGCGTTGGTTGTACCTGAAGCACTTAGGGTTGGACGGGATTTCCGGATTTCCGGATCTGGGCGCACCGCACCACCTCAGAACTGTGGCCGCACCTCTGGTCTCTCGTTGAATTGGGGGTTTGTTGTTTTCCAATCTGTGGATGTTTCTGTTTTCAACAGTATGAGCGAGCTTTATAGTCGCTCAGACTAGAACCACTTGTGGAGTGGAATAATGCAACACTGCCGATATGGGGGAGGAAGCAGGTGTTTTTAGGTATTATTTTAAAATAGAAACTGCCTTCCCCCCCCTTCTTTCCGTCGGGAGAACAAGGCGATCTTGTTTCTTAGCCGTTTGGAGACAGTCCTTCAGTTATTTGACAGAGCTAAAAGTAAGTCGGTGTGAATATAGTTTCAGGGTTCTGTTGGCTTTTTAAAACTCCTTTCTGGATGTGTAAATATCATAAAAAGGACGAGGTAAGTGCGCGATGCTGAGCCCTTTGCTCACGTGATGACTGCCAGCCATGTGGAGGGTGAGCTGGTTTTCTCTCGGGTTTCTCTTTTGCCACGTTTAACACAAATGGCAAACTTTCCCACGTGCTTCCTGCGCCCTGCAAGTCGCCAGGGCGCTGCCTGCGCTGCAGTCCGGGCTTCGAAGCCTCCGCTGCTGTGTAACATCCTTCCTCCAATCCAGCTGTCCCTTGCAGAGAGTGTATCATTTGTTTTATTTTTGTAAAAAAAAAAAAAAAAAGAAAAAGAAAGAAAGAAAGAAAAACGAAAAAGAAAAGAAAAAAAGAAAAGTGCTAAATAATATTTATTACTTGTTTGGTTGCAAAAAAGCAAATAAACGATCAAGTGTTGGGGTTTTAAATAAAACAAAGTAAGTCGGGCATTTTTTCATCTGTGTGAGTGGCTGGTGAAGGATGCGACTCCTTGGGGCAGGACTTGGGATCATTTTTGTGGTTTTGTCCAGGAGAGGGATTAAGAGCGTTGTTTATTCTGTTCTCCTCTAATCGGTCTCTAACTTACATGCGCGGTCTCCGGCAGTGGGGGTGTTTATCACAGGTTGCCTACCACCCTTGCTTCTATTTTCTGGCACCTGGTTGAGAACTTCCTTTTCTTTAGTGAAGATGGAACTAATTTAAGGTTGAAAACGTCCTTCCCAGAGTGTGGCAGGTTGGGCCTGTGGACAGAGCTTGGGGTGCTGGGGGATCCTCTTGGCCTGGACTGGGTTTCCTCTCTGCTCACTTGGGGTGGATTTGCTTGGCTTCTGCTGGGATCCAGATGCCTTGAGTGCCATGGAATGCTACACTGGGTGTAAAGTGCTGCGGGAATATCGGATCGAGGAACTCTTCTACCCTTTCTCTGTGCTTTCTACGACCTTCTCCCAGCATCCATCCGTCAGGAACTGCAGAGTGCCAGGTGCCCCGGAGCCTTGGGAAGTGGTGAGGTTTTCCAATGTAGGCCCGGCACTTTGGCCTTTCCTGGGCCTTCTGTCTTCCGGTAGCCACTAGGTTGCTTACCACCCAGAGCTGCAATGCAAACTTAGGATATGGGTCTTATAAGATTCCGAGTGGAAGTGAGACAAAGCTTCCTGTGTCCCAACCAAGGGCAGGGGCCAATGCTGCTGCAGGCTCTCAGCCCAAGAGCTGGCCCAAGAATGTACCCCCTGGAACGACAGCCTGGCATGGCCCAGTAGACTGGTCTCCTGGCCTTGCCATGTACATCTCTAGTAGCCACCAGCAAAGACACTGGAACTTGGGGTGGCGATTTCTCCTATTGAAACCCCATTTACTGAGTGCAGGCCAAGCCCAGCCCATATAAGCGTCTCTAACAGGGGCATGAGAGTGTCAGTGCTGTAACTCCAAGACCACACTGCCCTTAACTGCAGGCACTCAGAGATCCAGTACTTTTCACTAAAGGCTAAGAGGGATTGGGGAAGGCAGAGCAGCTGGCGACACAGGGAGACAGAATGAGCCCAGAGACATAGAGGCAGATGGGATTCCAGGAAGACAGGGTGGAGCCCAGTCGTGTTTATTCTAAAGTCTCATGTGAAATGTAGTAAACTTGCCAAGAGTTCAAAATCTGGACCAGCTCCAGCCACAGACCCTGTAGAGGGAAGCTGGAGATCCTACAGTGGAACAAGAACCCTGAGGTGGGGATAGGGGACTGGCTGCGGTGTGGGCTTCATCTCCATAGCAAGGCAGGGTTTGTGCCTGGACAGACTGGGTGTGCAGGGCATTCCATAGCATGAAAGGATGGTTGTTGAAAGGAGATACATCAAGTCCTCCCTTCCGTGTGGGTCCCCAAGCTTTCAGCAGCTTCCAGCCACCAACTAGGCTCAACCCCAGCCAAAGGAGGGGCTGTGCCCAGTCTCTGCACCCCGACTCCACCCCAGCAGTCTGCTTAAACTGTGCACAGCCTAGCCAGCCCCACCTCCACCGTGAGACCCAGGCCCCCAGGCACCACCAGGAATGTGCTGTGCACTGCAGGGCAGGTGGTTGCTTAGGTAGGGTACCCCAAAACTGGTGGGGCCAGGGATGGAGCTCTCAGGCCAGCAGCCTGGCTTCCAAGAGCCATGAAAAGAAGACTTCAAAATTACTTGGACTTGAGTGGGCCCTTAATTGGGGGCAGGCTCCCTACAAAAAGAAGGGAAGGGAAAGAGAGGTAGCACAGTGCTTTCTGCCTGGGTTGGCAATCAATGCTTGTTCCCCAGGGAGCAGCAGTCAGGAGATTTGTTTCTAGTGCTGGGCTCCACTTCCTATGTGGGCCCAGGACTGTATGCTCCCCTACCTCTGTCCCCCCTACACACCCAGATAGGCCGGAGCCACAGGAAAAGTGCCTTCCCTGGACTTAGTATTGGAGGACTCACGCTAGGGTTGGGTACTTTTGATGCCCACAGAATTGGAATTCTCCATTCCAGGGATAGAAGCAGAAGGGTGAAAAACTTAAAACCCAGTGTACATTTTAGTGGGGAGCACAGGGCTGCGACTCAGGGGTGCCACTATCCCAGCCAGGCCCCGCCTCTGATCCTAGCTGCAGGAGGAAGCCAAACCAAGGATCTGTGGTGGCCTGGGGCTCCTGCAGCCACCCATGCAGGACCAGTCCCTTCTCTCTCCCAGACTGGGAACCAGTACAGAGCTCACAGGGCTCTGTCACACCCTAAGGTCCTCAGATGTTCTCACCAATAAACCTCTCCTGACACCAGAGAATCATTATTTTTAGAGCAGACTCTACCTGGTGGTCTGACCTCTCCCTCCCCTAAGGAAACCTTCAATGCTGCTTGGATTACCCTAAAGGCTGAGAAGCCCCCATGCAGCCCACCTCTCATTTTAAGTCCCCATCCCTGTAGATTGTACGCCAAGTCACCCTTTGCCACTTAGTACAGGTAATGGCCATGGGGTCTTTAGCAAGGTGCTGCTACAGGAGAGTTTCAAGACACCTTAGAGGCAACAGAATCTCCCCATCCCACCACCATGTCCCCACCTCCAGACCTGAGGGACACCAGAATCAGCCTGGCTGTTCACAGAGGAAGCACTCAGGCCTGCTCTCTGCCCTAGGGACCCCGAGCAGCAGGGGTTGGCTCGGCGGTTCTCAGCTCAGGGCTGAGTTACTGCTAGAGGGCTGCGTGGTCATGGGAGAAGGTAGTAAGAAGCAGATGCAGCAGAGCTGGGAGGAGAGAGGCCCCCCACATACACACACCTGTAGTTCAGGATCTCAGTAAGAGGCTGGGGGAGAAATCGGCAAACATTTACTGAAGGTTAGTGGCTGTGAGGTGTTAAGTGTCAATTCCCTGAATTCTCACAGCAACTTTTTAGGAAGTGTTACTCTGATCCCATTTTACAGGAGAAGAAACTGAGGCACAAAGATGACAAGTGACTGTCTCAGGAGCACAGCCACAAGGTCGTGATGCAGGAGTGGGCTCCAGAGCCCAGAGTCCACACCCTGGCCCCCGCTGGGACCCCAGCAGCCTCTGCACTGGCTTAGCTGCCCACAGGGGAATTCTCGCATCTGTTACTGCTGCCTCCACCCCACACTCCTGCAGCTTTCAGGGATGCTGGTAGCGCTCCCCCTCGGTGCTTGGAACCCATCTGTCCCCGACGTCCCCATCTGAGGGGCAGGCGGTGCCAACCGGCTATGGCAATTAGCTGGCTCGAACGGCTCGCTGCGCGGGCGGAGGAAAGGCGCAGAGCAGGTGAGCCGCGGCGGTGCTCGTTAGGGACCCTCGTTACCGCCCGGACAGCTGTGATCCGGCCACAGCAGGACTCTCCTGGCCACACCTCCCAGCGTTCTGCCTCCCAGGAGTCCTTCGCGAAGGATCCAAACTAAACCTGCAGCAAACTAGGAGCTCCTGGGATCCACCGAGATCCCGCACGCGCGAGCCGGCAGGTTCCACGGGCCCACGGACTTTCCGCCCCTAAGACCCTAAATCGTCTTTGTCCACCGGGACTGGGGACTGCGTTTGGAGGCCCTGTCTTTATTTGGGTTCCTGGAGTCGCCGCCTCGCACTCGACAAAATGCTGGGGAGACCCTTGCCTGGAACTGCGGAGGGGCGACCCGGGCTCCGTAGTTTGGCCAGCAAGGACCCACGTGGCGGAATGGAGCCGCTGCCTCGGACCTCCCTGCCCCTTTGGTGAGACTGCAAAGCTGTGTGGCTTTGAGTCCACTGGCTGAGGGAGGAGGTGGACTGTGTGTGTGTGTGTGTCCCCGCGCAGCATGCAACCCCGCAGAGATCTGACAATCCTGCGGGGGCCAAACACCAAGGGGGACATAAACCCATGTCCACCATCCTGAGTCCACTCCCAGGATCCCGTACCCGGGCTGACAGGCCTAGCTTTGAGCTCTCAGTCCATCCACACTCACGCTTGCCTGTGTGCTGGCCCTGCTGAGCGCTGGCGCTGCTGTGAAGCAGAAGTTCTCGCTTGCTCGTGGGCAGCTGGGCTCACCTGAAAGCCTGCGTGTGTCCCATTTCTGGAGCATTCCTCTTCGTTGCCAAAGACATGAGGAAACTGTCATAAGCAAGTCTTCCCCCTTCACCTTAGAATCTACCTGGCAGTAGCTTCTTGTCTTGGAGTCAGGGCTGGAATGGCCTTTCCAAAGCTGTGTGGTGTTAGATCTAAGCCTCAGTTTCCTCTACAGTAGAATGGAGTCAGTACAGTGACCTCTAGTGCACCCTGGGTAAATCAGACTCTGCCTAGAATATCAGGGCTCCCTGGTCTACTTGGAAACAGAGGTCCTGGGAGCCCCTAGCTGGCAGGAGGGCGTGGTGCATGAGAATAGTGCTGGGTGTCACTTTGGTACACAAATGGAACTTAGAAGCCTCCCTTGAGGCAGGTATAGATGGTTCTGGAAAGGAGTTGTCTCTCAGGCTGTGAGACCTCCCCAGAGTAGAAACAGGCTGGATGTCTTTGTGTTTAGACATGTACAGTAGCTGCTAGATACAAGGGCTCAGGAAAAGGAATGAATGAATGAATGATACAGTCAGAATCAACGAGGGGCTTGGGGGAGCAGGGCTTGGAGAGTATGGGGAATAAGACAGGATCCTCAAGTCCCCAGAATCCTGTATGGATGGTGAACACTGAGGGGATGAGGCAGTCAGTAGCTGGATCTGGACTTGGTCCCTACAAGACGCTGGTTACATGAGGAGACCTCCTCGAGTCTCTTTCTTATGTAAGTAGACTCATTCATAACAGTGCAGAGTCATGTTGCTGTGCAGAGTAAAGGAAAACTCCCAGGAGCCACTTTCTGCCTGGTCTCAACTGTAAATGGATGCTCTGGGTCCTGAGGCCTGCCCAACTGCATCTGAACCCCACATCTGAGCCATCTCCACTCACATAGCCAAGAATGTATAGGTCATGTGGAGCCCATCACATGAAGACCTTTAGAGGGCAGCTGGCTGTGGGGAGGTGTAATGCTTTGGCTGGGATGTGCCAGCTGTGTGCCCTTGGGTGAGAGACCTGAGCCTTCTGAGCCTCAGTTTCTTGATCTGCAAAATGGGATGATACTATTATCTACATGGGGTGCCATAGTTAAAGGTGAACTTGGGCCTGGGCACACAGAGTATTCTGAGATGCAGAAGCATGAGTGATGGCATGGTGCCATCCCATCAAACCCCTGGAAAATCCTCCAAGGTGAGTCTGTTACCCTCTGAAGTACTCTGCAGCATCCTAAAGGATCTGCATCCTCAGGACCCCAAGAGCAGCTTGCAGTGGTCATGAGCTCTTTCCACACTTTCCACCCCCAAACCCCAGCACAGAGTAAGGCCCTTATTCTTCATTCTTTGTAGTGCACAAGGCTTCCTGGACCCTGGGCTGGAGCTTCCCCATCACCCCCAGCTCAGGCCTCTCCAGGCTGTTCGGGCCAAGGCAGTGCTAATGAAGACACCAAAGTCTAGTGTCCTCAGCCAACACAGGAAGGAAGTGGCTTAGGTCAGCCCTGGCGGGTGCTGGCAAACAACTGCCACAGCAGGGGCAGGGAGCCGAAGGACTAGGACAGCCAGGACGCTGCCCTCCTCCCGCCCCATCCCTGTGTCCCTGGGCTGGGCTCACCCTCTTTGTCCCTCTATCAGCCTCAGTCTCCTAGCCCCATAACCTGCCGGCTGTCATCAGCCACCAGCTCCAATCTCACTCACTACTTTTCTGTTTTAAGGTCAAAGTCATCTAACATTCATAATGTTGTGCAACCACCATGCCTATCTAGTTCCAAAACATGTTCATCACAAGTAAAATCCTGTACCTAGTAAGCAGTTACTCCCGATCCCTGCCCCGGCCTCCTGTCTCTGTGGAGTTACTGGCTGCTCCCAATCAGTGGAATCATAACTATGTGACTCTATCCCCTTAATGTTTTTGAGGTGCATCCTCAGTGTGACATGTATGTACATTTTCTTTCTCATAACTGGTCAATATTCTGCACTCTGTTTATCTACTCATCTGTCTCATTAGCTTTTGAGCAGCTTTTTAGGTCCTTGAATGAGACCTGTGATGGTGAGGAGGTGGCCTGGACCAGGAGTTTAAGTATCTAAATCTCTGGGCAGTCTGGGTATCCTCAAGTGAGTTGTTTGACCTTTCTGGACATCAGTGTACTCATACATAGGTAAGAAAGTTGACAAATGACATTTCAAGTTATGGTCCCCTGTGACTTGGTGCAACCTTAAAAAACCTCCATAAAACTGGTGGACAGAAACATGATGTCTCTCTCACCTGCTACAAGCCTGTGTCAAGGGCCTGCAACAACACTTGTGCTGGGACTTTTACCACACTCCCTGATGAGCCTGCACCTTGGGGCCCTACGCAGAACGCAGAACGATAAGAAGCCAGCTGAAGAAAGGAATGTTGTCTGTTTCTCCTTCTTCTATATGCAGCCAGATTCTTGTCTGTTGTGACTTGGAAATAAAATGGCCAACTAATTTGAAGCACCCGTGGATCTCCATCATGACATAATCAACAGTCACCTTTCCCTCCTTTTTTTTTTCAGTGCTTGGGATGGGATTCAAGGCCTTGCATGATAGGCAACTGCTGTACCACTGAGCCACATTCAGTTTGATCATATACTGTCCTGTACGGTCTCGACTTTTTATTCAACATACATTTAACACACTGGGAGGTGTAGAGGAGACTCCATGGTGGCAAACACTATGCCTATTCGGAGGTCACTAACCAGTGTCTTGCTATAAGCAGATTAGAAACCCACAGAGAAAAACATTTAAGAAATATACTCTTTCCTAGCATTTAAAAGCTTTTTAAACTGCCATGAATGGAAGGGAGAAAGAAAATGGTCTATTCTGCTTGAGGTTAAAAGGGGGCTCTCATGTAGGAAAGGCACTGTTATCTCAACCGAGAACATTTCCTTTTAGAATACAGAAACTTCACCTTCTTCCTTTACAATGCTTCAAACTGACCGTGGTATTTTCATTTGTTTTCTCTATTCAACCATATCTCTATCCTGTTTTAAGTTTGTTCTTTATTATCTATCATCTCCACTGGATAATAAGCTCCACAATACAGAGATCTTTGTCCATCCTGATAATTGGTGGGATGTAAATCAGAGCCCAGCAAATACTAGGTGCTCAACAAACATTCACTGAATGGATGGATGGATGGATGGATGGAATGAATATAGATGAATTTTGCTACTGGGTTACAATAGAACAAATCCAAAGCATCACTGGGACATCTACATGAGAAAACATATACAAAATCTGAGCTCGTAATGGTCCCGAGGCAACGAGCAAATAGGGTTTTTCTGAAATAATCAGGATCAACAAATCTATTAAAACTTATAACATTCTCCCCTGTGAACAGAAGCTGCTTCCTTACACCTGTTGGGTGGTCTGTGAGTACAGTAATGATGTAGACCCAAAGACTGCTTTTAAAATTAAATGCCTCAGTCTGGCAGAGTGGTCATCTCTGCTACTTGGGAGGCTGAGGAGGGAGGATCACAAGTTTGAAGCCAATCTGGGCATTTAGTGAGATTCTATTTCAAACTAAAGAATTAAAACAACTGGGGCTGTAACTCCGTAACCCCAGTACCTCCTCAGTACCCCCCCCAATACTGCAGAACATAAAAATAAAAGATAAGCGGATTTGTGGTTAGACAATTTGTTCTAAGCCTTCTGTAGGCAACTCCTTGGATTAAAAAACCAAAAATACAAGTATTCAGTTGGATGACTCTTTCTGATGAGGAGCATATCTGAAAGCAAAAACATGTCTCTTGGCAAATTCGTGGCTCCCACAAACCATCCATGTCAATGCCACAAACAGAATGACAACACTATCAGGGGGGGTGGGACGGGCGGCCACAACAGTCCAATTCAGACAGCCAGTGCAAATCTTAACATTAAGTATGAAAAAAAAAAAAAAAAAAAAAAAGAGAGAGAGAGAGAAAGAAAGAAAAAAGAAAAAAAGAATCCTCAGTGGTTGTATTTGTCCCGAATGCAAAACTGGCCCTTTGTTGAGTGGGCTGCACGAACAGAGGCAGAACAATGTTGAGGCTGCTGGCGGGCCATGTGCTAATGTGCTCATGCATTACAGGCTACAACAGATGGCTGTGACAACACCCGGGCCTGCCCGCCTGGGTCAGGACGCAGAGCCTGCAGCCTGCTTCCAGCGTGGTTCTGCTATCCAAACACTGCTGCTCATCGGAGAGATGGCGGTTGTCCTTAGTGGAAAGAACCCGCCCGATTTATCCAATTTGAAGGCAAAAGGTGCCAAGCAATAATGATTCGGGTCTACTGGCTGTTAGCCTGAACCATGTTTCAGGATTGGAAAGTATTTACACACTATTGAAAGTCAGAAAAAAGGAAATGCGTGTTAGGTTGTTCCAGCATGTAAGGTCTTGGGTGTCGCTTACATGTTTAAGCTCCTCCCGTGACCCAGATGTGGCACAGTGAATAGAATTCTGATTCCTCTCTCCTTCCTCCTGAGGTGTCTCTCTTCTTCTCACAGTGACCGTGAACCAGGATGGAGGGAAATTAACCCCACCCGATTCCAGCCAAAACCAAATCACAAGCAAAACCACCACACTTCCTTGCAGCTACCAAGAGACACACTTCCAAGCCAACAAGTGTCCTTGTCTCCCCGCAGATGAAAGGATGCCAGCACTGGCTGTCACCTTTGCTCTTCCTACTTTTCCTCAAAGCAAAAAGTGCAGGCCTTGTGCCTGAACCAGCAGCCCAGCCAAAGGCATCAGTGTTCTAGAAAAGGACTTGGGGTCAGTGACCATCTTTACTCGTGGGTTCTGCCCACAGAGCCAGGTGAGCTGCCCTGTTTTTCAGCTCATCTCCCCAGAGCTGGGTACTGGGACACACTTGGAAGAAGGTCCCTGACAGTACCAGAGATGTCACCCTAGATCCGTGCAGAGGCAAAGAAGCAGCACAGGCCCACGGAGACCAGGAAGACCATGGAGCTTTGCACTCCACTTTCTGAGCTAGACACAGGCACACAGGTGATCTTCACAGCTGCTCTGCATTTCAGGGTACACATAAGGAGCACTGGGACTTTGGCATGAACCACAGGCCCCCTCCTACTAATGGGTCTGTGGTGCCCAGCACTCCTGTTAATGTGGTGTGGATGCAGATGTGTTGCCCCCTAAGAGCCCTCAAACGCCCACTACCTGGGAGGGATATGCACAAGCTGTTAGCACAGCACAGCCCTTAAAGTCTGACTGGTAACATAAATCGGGGTGCTGAAGAGCCAGGAAAGGGTAAGTTTTACCCAGAGGGAAAGCAAAGTGGGCAGGAAAGAAAGAGAACGTGGAACCAATGGCTGAGATCACATCGCCAGAAGCAGGTTCTGAGGAAGAGCATCGCAAAGGCATGTTGGGATGCAGCTTTTGTGCTAAGAGAAAGAAAGTTCCAAGACAGTGCCTGGTCTGGAAGCTTAATGGTACAGAGGACATCAGTGCCAGCCCTCATAGTGCCCTGCTATCCTCAACAAATGGCCTCCCTCCTGTGGCTAAGGTGTCTGCTCCCAGCTTGTCACCACACCCATGTTCTGAGAAGCAAGAATGAGGAAGGCTGGGTCTGTCCTTCCTTTAAAGTATAAACCCAAAGTGCCATGTATCACTTCTATCCATTGTCATGAGACAAAACAATCACAGGTCACATTCAGCTGCAAAGGAGTTTGCAAAATGTGACTTCATGTGGGTGGCCATGCGCTAGCTAAAACTCCAACTCCTAATAGAGACATGAGATATTGGGGTCCACAAACCATCTGTGTCACACTGGGTTCGGAAGCCATCGAAATGAACATTAGTCCCATTTTACATGTTATGTCCAAAGGGATTTTTACCAAACACCATAAAATTTGTGAATTCCTATGACTTAGAACTTTCTATCTCTGCCTGATAAAAACTTAGAACATGTTTCCTTCTTTCCTAATTCACATTCTGCATGCTCTCTCTCTCTTCATTCCATTTTTAGATTTATGTTTTAAAATTTTGTTCTGCTGGAGAATTAATTTCCCATCACCCATTTCCTTCAGCTTCATGAATGTCTAGGTCAGGGATCCTCTGGGGTTTTGTTGAGGTTGGTTTGGCTTGGTTTGGTTTGGGCTGGGTTGGATTTGATCTGGGTACAATAGATTGAACCCAAGGCCTTTCACACTGAGCTACAGCCTCAGCCCTTTTAATTCTGAGACATGGTCTGCCTGGGTCACTAACCTGCTCAGAGTAGGCTCAAATTTGTGATCCTCCTGTCTCAGCCTTTCAGAGTGCTGGGTTACAGACATGCACCAACACACCTGGCTTCACCTGGTATTTTAAAAAATGCTCTCTAAGGGGAACACAAATCCACTGTGCTCTGTTAGACAAGTGCCTGTCGTGGCAGAATGTCCCAGACACGAAATAGGAGGGCTGTAGTCTTGAGCAGTGCTGTCCAGTAGAATGTTCTGTGATAACAGAAACGCTCTTCCATCTGTGACCTTCAATATGGCAGCCGTGGAGCTTGTGAAATGCAGCCAGTGTACCTACAGAACTAATTTTTTTCATTTTAATTAATTTTAACTGTGAAAACCTCATATGACTAGTGGCTACTGTATTGAAAAATCAGCTCTAGAATAAGAGACTGCAAGATTCTTGACAGCCTGGACTTTACCAAAACCCACTGTCAATCACTGTATTTTTAAAACCAGCAGTCCCAGGACAGACTCCAAATGCAAAGAATTTCTTCAAAATCAGAGGTGTGTCTTTTACCGTAAAGAATTATTTGCACTGACTCTCTTAGCAAGAATAACTATCATTCATTGTTAGTTGAGATCATCAGATATCAGGAGAATTCAAGTTGGGAATGTTGGTTAACTTGCTATGATATCTCAAATAACAGTCTTGAATTGCCACTCCCTGCCTGCTCCCCAACCTGCTTCCCCCTCCCCAAAAAAAGACCCCACACTTGTCAAGATGACCCTGAACTTGTACACCCCAAAAATGTAAATGTTACCCCTACATCCACAAAAGTGTTTACATGCTCACTCTAAATCTTCTTTTACTTTTTAAAAATTTGATGTTTCAATTAACTTTGTACCTGGGAATAACTTGACATTCATAGAAAACTACAATGATAATACGGACAATTTGGGGCTTTTTACTGATGCTAGTATCATTTATAACCTTGGCATATGTGTCACAAGTGAGAAATTAACATGTTACTAGGACAGTAACTCAGTCTCAGATATTGTGCAGATTTCACCCTTTGTGTGGTCCAGAGAAGCAGAGCGGGTATCTAACACTGGATGCCACACTGCATTTAGTGATGTTTATTTTCAATGGCGCTGACCAAAGACTCATTCCTCACCATCCTCTCTAACTTAAGGCAGTTGTAGCTGCTGCTCATACGCAGGTGTTAGTTATATGAAGAGCCTGATGGTGTGAAAACTGGAGACAGAGAGCTAATCATCACTGCATTAAGATCTGGTAGAAGGA